GAGCAGGGCAGGGAAACTGCAAATAGTTAGAGCGGGCCTATAAGCCCGCTCGCTGCTAGCTACTTACTAGCTAGGACCTAGGACCGAGGACTTACAGGGCCACCGAGAGACAGGAAGCTGGGATACATCAGGGCCATGCAAGCTGGGATACGGACACCTCTCTTTTTAGGTTTACTAAACTTTTGATGGTGCTATTTCTCTCTCTAATTAGGTTTACTAAACTTTTGATGGTGCTATTTCTCTCTCTAATTAGGTTTACTAAACGTTTGATGGTGCTGTTTCTCTCTCTAATTCACTTAGCAGTTATTTTGCTAAAATAATCTTTTCATGTCTACCAGTGGTTCCCTGAGCACAGCTTCACAAGACTACCGAGTTTGGGGTTCCAGGTACCATGATCCAGGAGCCATGACCATCACCATCATCCACTTGATCACTCTCCACCCGGGTCATGTCTGCGACGCCTTCATGCGCTGTTTCTCAGGTGAGGTGGAGCTACAGCTCTTATCAGCTCTTCACGTCCTTCATGGCTCATGAGCTTCAAGATAGTTAAGACAGGTCAGATCCCAGGTTGATGTGCTACATGTGACAGGACCATTCGCATACATGGAGTTTCTGGGGTATGTGTACTACAGTGGTCTACAAAGAATTCAAAGAAAGGACAGGAGGTCGAAGTCTCCTGAATCCAGTCTTCGTCTCTCATTCAGGTCTTCGGCTCGTACTGTGAAAACACAAAGCAGCATCCACGCTGCTGCATCCTTGTCCTTCTTCACTCCTTGTCAAACAAGATTGCTGACACCGTCGATGAACGGAAACCCAACCCAAAAGCCTTCAACTCTGCAAATTGTGGGGCATTCCCCAAATCAAGGCAAGGGGGTCCTTTTTCTTCCAACCAGATCATGCAGGTGTTTCTATCTGCCCTCACTCTAGGTGGCTCCCAAAGACAAAACACAAGTTGTGAATTGAGGTTGTCGGGAGAGAACCCAGTTGTGTCCATCGCAATGGAAGAAGAAGGGGAAGACTCGTGGTGGGTAGGGGGTACAAAACCCGTCAAATGAAATGGTTAATAATTAATTGGTGGCTACATGTGGCTTCTGGATGTTCTTTCCAGGAGCCCAACTAAAGGCCAAAGGCCTTCAAACCTCTCTAATGAGAAACGCGTCAACTTGTTACAAGATGTCACTCCTTTTTCGTTCTCGACACGAACATTACCTGAAACAAGGCGGCCTTTTTTGGTGCTTTTTTCTTTTTTGGTTCCTTTGTCTTCTTCTGGTCCTTCTGAACTCTCTTTCCCTCAGCTGGCAAGGTCGGCGGTGTCGGCTCAGACGTGCGTGGCCTGTGCGTCGCTGTAAACGACGTGGGCGGAAGACACTTTGATTTATGATTTCATTTATGCATCTTGGGGTAAGAGTTGGTGCCCAAACATTTCACTCTGAACGTCTTGAGTCTTGATGGTAAGTGTCTGCAAGACCCCTAGCTTCCATGTTTCGAAGCAAATGCAGCAGCCCAATCTGAATGCGGGTGCCCTTCTTCGGAACCAAGGCCACCAGAATCGTCGGATACTGACACATGCAGTTTTTTTGTATATATAGGCAGCGATGGGCAGTTCGAAGTTGGGGCAAGAAACAATTGAGGACATGCCTAAGATTGCCTAAGAGTTCAATGTTGCGGTGATCTACGCACTGGCTCTCAAACTCACACCACCTTGGACGTCCGCGCACTGGCTATTAATAGCCGATAGCCCCTTGAGAGGTTAAGAGGTGCCCACTAAGCCACTTCTGTCGCCACTAAGAAGCCACTAAGCACCCCTTGTGAGTCCCGGTTCCGGTCCCATCGGATCAAACGGAGCTCCGATGGAGCGGGTTTTACCGATGGTCAAACACGGAGGACCCTGGGGCGTTCCATGAGAGAATTGGGTTTGACAAATGGATCCAGGTAGGTTTTGGTCACTTTTCTACCTCAAAAGGTCAACCAGGACCCTCAAAAGGTGCCTACATAAAGAGTCTCCTTCCTCACCATACCTCAGGTTCGTATGTGGATTCAGGTAGAATGGTGTGTGTTCATATGATTTTTTCAAACCCAACCACTCCGGTACCCCGATGGATCATGGGAAGGGCCGATGGATCATGAGGTTTTTCGCCAGGGCCTTGTGAAGTCTCGGGTCAAGGTTGAGGGTGCGATGACCCATACCAGGACCTTCCAAATCCGGTGGTTTTTGAACCCTAACAGGTGGTGAACCTGAGCACCGGACGAACGGAGTTTTACAGGAAGCACCGGACGACGGTCCAGGTACCCAGTCTCCTCTCCAAGTCTCCTTGGACTTCTTCAGGCTTTCGGACGATGCACTGCTCGTCTCCGTGCTCGAGCTACCAGAGGACGAGTCTTCACTTCGCTTGGGTCCTTACGAACGGAACGAGACTTGCAGAACTGGAGTTCCGTTCGCTACCAAGCTAGTGGGGCTTTGGACCCAACATGACCCAACTCAAGAGAGCAATAATGGTTTGGGTCTATCCTCATATCTGTAACAATGGATGATGATGATGATTATGATGATGATGATGATGATGATGATGATGATGATGTTGCAGGCCTTGTTCAAACATAGTGATAATTATTTACTGACTTTTAATCAATAGGACAGACCCAAGCAATAGTGATAATCCGAGCACCCTACGAATTACTTTCCCTTTACTTAAATTCTCCAGAGTGGTGTAACCTTCTATAGTGGTACTGAATCTTATGGATCCACTGGAGTTTCTTTTGCTGTCGCGAGAACACCACTGTTCGGAACTAGCTAACGTTGGGTCAAGCTGGTGGTAGTATCCAAGCCTCTTTAACTTGTTGAGTCGTAAGGGGCTCACTCATCCACATCACCAAATATATAGTCACCCAGAGCTCAGAGACAAGATCAGTGACCAGTTTTGGCAGCGGGAACTTAGATGCCCAACAAAAGCCACCATCGACCATAGAGCAAATTAAGCCAAACCCGAGTTAAAATTCTGGAATAAGCCTCCCTCTTGTAGATAACCTCCCTCTCTCTCTCTCTCCCAACAACTCAAACATTGTGCTATTGCACAATATCTGCCCCCCCCCCGCTCGACTTGATTGCAGCGCTTCCAAGGGTCTTTTCGTCTTTGCCACTCGTTGCGACTTCTTTCTCTTGGCCATCTTCTCTTTGAGTTTTTTTTTGAGCTTTCTCTGCTTCCTGCCCAACTTGCATGTGTCTGAAAGAACCATCTGGCTTTGGTTGAACAGGAGAGGGCATCCTAGTTCAGAACTCATCACAAGTTTCGGCAACTGCCGCAACTGACCAGGCTTAGCACCGAGCCTGTCCAAATCGAGGGCATAGGGAATGAGTAGTTTGTGCGCCAAACACCCACAGAAATACCTCGACGCATTTCACATTGTACAATTCTATGACTCTAACGATAGACAAAAATGATGGACAAGTCTTCCCACCGTTTCGATGCTCAATGTAGCTACGGGATCCCAATTGCATTTCAGCTAAACGATTTCTGTGATGTCTGGAAGATCCAGTCCAACATGGGTTTGCATGTGTTCTTTGTCTGGCAGCGACAGTATTGCAAAAGGTCGACGTTCAGTTACAGTGGCAAAATCCCTTCATGTTGAAAACAACTGCTCTTGAATGGGAGCACCACAGCTCCAGTGCAAAAAAAGACACATGTCACAGTGTCTGCGACACGAGTTCCTCGTGATCGTCACCCCAACCAACTTCGAAGTAGTAGGCATCAGTTCCCGGCCCCGATGAAACCGTGTCTTCCCTATGGATCTCAGGTCATTGGACCATACCTAAAGACCGCCATAAAGAGTCTCCCTGCTCACCTTACCAGGCTCGAAAAAGTGGATCCAGGTAGAAGGGTGTGTGTGTGTTCATCAAACTTGTTCAACACCACCCACTCCGGTACCCCGTTGGATCCATGGACCAGGGCCCTTCGGTCTGTGGAGCCGTCTCCTCGTCGAGGGCGAGGTCGAGGACTCTTCGTCCTGGCAGCTCCAAGAAGTAAAAGAAAACCTAAACAAACAATATTATAATGATCATCTAATGATCATACAGTATAAGGCGGACATAGGATTAAGTAACCACCCCCTATTAATAAATGATCATGTTAAGGAGTGCTGAACTTGGAGGGGCACGGGGTGCGCCCGGCACATCCATCGGGCGGCACCGAAACAGGACTGGAGATCAGTGGAGTGTGCTTTGGGGGACCCCCCATCTGTCTCCTTTCGGGTGGCAGTTGCCCATCTACTCTGAACATAAAAAGCAAGTCCAACATCGCCTGCCTTGTGCCATCTTCTGCCACAACATGACACAAGAAAATGGTTTCTGAGTGATCGGAGTGCTTGAGAATGAGTATCTGTGTGGCCCAGACCAATTCCAAGACCGAAAGGATCACTGCGATCACTAAAAGGTGAATGGCAACTATCAAGTAGCTCTGCGACTTGCTACCAGACTACCTGCACCTGGACATGGTCCGCACCAAGAAGTGCGCAACACCAATGACCATGGCGTAATGCTGTGATACGCTGTGATGCTGCCTGAAGTCAAGAATGCTCTAAGTATAGCACAGCAAAGGACTTTTCTCTTCAAGTATCAACTTTGTTCTGCCCTGACTTGACATGATGAAATGATGTACAGTGATGAAGGGCCAAGACAAAATAACAAAGTTCCCAAAGACCTTGGATTCATGGCCTTGGACGTTGAATCGAAGTCGTGAACTGTTGATTATAATCAATTTGTACTTGGCGGGAAACAACAACGTGACTCGGCTGAAATCGGCTGAATAATATGGTCGACGGCGCACTGAATTCAGACTTCGGAAGTCGCTCAACATCGCTCAACACTGCAACCGTGTCAAATCAACTCTCTCACCCCCCAAAAAAGTTCACCCCAAACCACCAAATCCACCGCCAACACAGTCCCCCATGTCCAAACTTCCCGAAGCCCCCCAACTCGGCACCCGTTTTCCGCCGTTTTCACCCGCCTCTTCGGACGAGGAGTCGGAGTCGTCGGTCGACGACTCCGTCGTCGCCACACGCGCGGGCGCGCGCGTGGTGCGCCGCGCTCCTGCGAGGCTCGCGAGGCAACCAGGACGGTGGGAGGAACGAAGAAAGCCAAATGGAGAGACGGTGGGAGGGACGGTGGTCACAGGTACGGTATACTGCCCACTTGGGGCCTTCTTGGGCCCAAATTCTTTGAACATGTGGTTGCAATGTGACGAGCGGAGCGAACTGCGGAAAAGCATGGAAAAGCCCTATCGCCTGGATGGTTTACTTCAAAACCGAAGAATGTGATCGCTGTACTTAATCAGCTTGTTCAGCAGGGACGACAAAGGTCCCCACAAAACAAAGAAATAACATGACAGGTGTCAAAACACCCCTTGACACCCTGCAGACAAATGGAACACAACAAAGAGAGAAACAAATTGCCGTATATCAAAATAGGGAGACCTCCCAGTTCAAGCCCCTGGAAGAAGGAACATGGAACCAGTCTACCCAGCCAGGGCCGGGGTGGCTCCCTAGTAAAGGACATACCTTGGGTCTATCCAATTACTGTACCAGTATGAGTGGATGATGATGGTTGTGTCGCAGGCCTTGTTCAAAAATAGTGATAATTGATGATCACATATTGTAACTGTTTGCGGACTGTTGCAGGTAATAGGACAGGCCCAACATATACCCAAATGCACCAAGAACAGATTGGCAATCGTCCAACAAACCCTGCTCCTGTAGCTCTGAGCGGCCTGGGCAAGAAACCGACCCAATGGACCAGCGAAACTCCCAATGGACCTGCCTGGACTCGCCTGGCGAAACTCGACACAAGGTCGTTTGGTACATGAATTGGTACTCCTCTGCCACCAAAGGTATCAGGTGAACGAACACAGGTTCGCTTGAACGAACACTAGGAAACAAGGCCCAGTGGATGGTTTGGGCCAGTGGATGGTCTTATAATGCCCAAACACTCTATGTATATGCCATATATGCCTACATTGGGGTGGTTTGGGGGGTAAATGGGGCGGCATATAATATGGCATACATGGAGTGTCTGGGTAATGGTGCTCATCTATTTTTACTCCCTCCTCACGGACGATTTTCGGGCATCTCCGCATCTCCCCATTCGGACGGCTGGAAGAACTCCAGCCCACCGTTGTTTCCTCGTCTTTCAACCGTAAACCCATCTAACTGACACTCCTGCGATCTTCTGTGTTCGCCATGACTTCAGATTGCTGCACTGAAAAACACTTCCCCTTTCATCCCAAACAAAAACTCACTTTGCGAACAAGTTATCCTGGAAGAGACGAAGAAGATTTGGCCGTTTTTTCAAGAACCAGATCTGCTGGGCCAAGGATGAACCGCACTGGGGTACCGCCAGTGGGGATGGTCTGTGGTACCGCCACTTGCGCTCGTCGTGATGCGAGTGGATCAACGCATCTCTCTCTGGTTGCGCCCTGGGTCCCAGCAGCTGCTGTGCCTTTTTTTTCCGGAAATACAGTGGTCGATCTGTGGCTGTATTTGACATGACCCGTGGGACTGGAAGAGTTCTACCACAGGGATGGGGGTCATCTTCAATGAGGATTCCATGTCAGGAACTATTCCTTACATGGATGGTCTGGGTATCCAACCTCAACTTGCAACCAGACTGGTAGGACCTGTGGGATCGCTCGGCAACGGCGCAACGGCGCAACTCGCGGCTGCCCAGCGACGGTGCATCTTCCTGCCGAGCGGCACGTGGCGGCCGAACACGTTGGTACCGAGAGTCGGCCCCCCTTTTTGTTGTTTCACGCTTCAAGCAGCTGTACGGTACTAGCCGGTAGCCTGGCAGTGAAGTAGTCGTTGGGTGTTCATCCGGCCCCATTACGGACCAAATTGGGAAGCGGAACACAAAGTTGCTCCAATGTCGTCCTCCACTGTTCAGGGAGGTCATCGAGTAGGGAGGCTGATCCTCGGCCCCCCCAAACAAGTATAAGAACTTACGTATTCTGAAATTTTCAGGCTTCCTCACATGCATAAATTTAAAACACCCCTTTCACATTGAGAAAGGAGTGCTACGAAGCAGAGGCAACGTGTAGGATAAGCAAATTCACATCTTGATGGTTGACAACTTAATGTGGCCAAAGGAACCCTCAACCTGGCAAAACCACAGAGTAGAAACATCATCCAACATCATGACTTCAAAGCGACCATGTCACCCTCGAAACCATCATTCGAAATCCCTCGACTGACCTAACATCCCAATTCCCACCTGGCGTCCGACTCAGTCGGCAGGTGATGATGCTTTCCAGAAAAAATCCCATCGGCGGGCATCCGACTCCCTTCGTTCGCCTCGGGCAAGATGAGATGCTGCCTCAGGTGGACCAATCAACATGCCATCTTCACCGGGGTGGACCTGGGGTCAAGGTTGGTCAAGGTATATATTACAGTATATAATATCATAACGTTCCAACTCATCATGCTAAGTATGCAACAGCTTTTGGCTGGTCCTTTTAGATGAACAAACATACATTTTACACAGTGTGTCTAGGACCAGGATCAACATGAACACCTCAACGACACGAACCTGTTTCTCGATTGTTTCTTTTTATGATCGATCCGAGACAGTGCGTAAACAAATATTGTTTGGGTGGATCCTATTACCGCTGTAACCATGTATTACTGACTGTTACAGCTAATAGGACAAACCCTAGATATTATGTTCAGACTTTAAGCCCGCAAATAATATATGTAATTTGGAGGGTCCGGACCCCTGCCAATTGAGGGTCCAAGAATTCTTGGGGGGGGGTGCCACGGGTGATCGATCAGCTGATATCAGAATCCTGTGCCAACGAACCAAGCGTTCACCAGCGAACCAAGTCCAAGGAACCAGAGAACCATTTAGAGCCACGTGCCGGCCTTCATGTGCCATGTGCCACCCCACGGTACATGTCAACTGCTTTGCCAAGTTGATCTGGGCACACGAGCGGGTTAGCACGCTTCTTGAGGTCCAATCTGTAGGTACCATCCTGGACTCGCACCGGAGAACCCCAGGTTTCTGCACCGCCGGCAAGCCATGATTACCAACGGCTTTCGCATTGGCAAATTGATGGCAACTGCCATGTCCACTGCCAGTCCTCTCTGATTTACAGATGTTGCCGGTTTTCCGCCGAGCCCGGCAGAATTCCGCCTGGCCTTACGGAGACCGCTCCCGAGAGTCCTCCCCGGGGTGCCTTTGCATCCTGGCAATGAGGTCGTTGGAGCCCCAAAATCGGGGGGGGGGGGATAACCCATTCTTTCTTCTTCTCTGAACCACCTGGAAAGGCGCCTAGAGTCTCGTTCCAAAGGGGCACTCGCGCTCCCCTCTGCTCCAAGCGTTTTTATTTGAACCTGCTTCAGCCAAACAAACTCGAAGCGTTTCCCACCCCTCAGAATCGTTTGGATGTTTGGCTGGGCAGCTATTGTGCTAGAAACCCCGCAACATTGAGAAAACACCCCTTCCTCGGCCATGCACAAAGCTCTTAGCCAGCAAACGGTTTGTAGGAGCTTTATGTCTCCTTTCACATACTGCTTGCGTCCCTTTCCTTGCACAACTGATGATTACACCAACGCCCCTGCGGCCGTTGGTGGCATGTAGGTGCTCATCATCGAAGAGTTATATCAATCATGATCAACCCCAAGACTGCTCCCACAGCAAATGGCTTCCACAGCGCTTGACTCCCGAAATCACCGGGCTAAACTGCAAAAAGATCTCTGACATCTGCGATCACTCAACTTGGCTCTCAAGCGGTTCTTTGATAAAGGTTGGACAATCTCTGGTGAAATCAATAACGACATCCCTTCTATACAGTGGTTTCAGATTATATAGATGACACAAACCATCACAAACCCGAAAATCACGTTAGACAAATGAGGGACCACCAAACTTGGGGTAACTTGCGCCATCGAACCTCTCAATTCATCACCCCAAAGGACCAGGGGTCAAGGCACCAAGGCACACGCCTTGTTTCGGACCTGTTAAGGCAGTCCTCGTTCTGTTTCACGATGGTCGCTGGCACCCACCGTTGCACCTCACGACCCAGTCGCTTTGACCCGAAAAGGCGGCTGCGACCGGAGAATCTATTGGGATGAAAAACCTGGCAGGGTTTGGTGATTTATTGGGTTTTCGCCTCTTCAAGTGTGGTGTAGCAGGGTATAGCAGGGTGCACTGATTTTGGAAGGCCAACTGTATCACTCGCAAATCCATGAAAAACCTGGCCGACTAGCCCCGAGAAATGATGCAACCATGTCATGGGGGAGAACGTAGACCGACCGCCGAGTCGCAGGTCCGTGGGGATGGGACACCTAAGACCGGGCACCGGTCTGCAAAACGCACGCGCGGTGGGGCAAGGATCAACGGTCCATGGGATTCTCAGAGATCACCGGAATTTGAATGAACAAGAGTGTTTGCGTATTGAGCTTCTGAGATGGTGCTTCTAAAAGTCCACTGGCTGGCCAAACCAGGCCCCCATCAAGTTTAGTGGGCCTCAAAGCAACATGAAACTCAGGTACATCGGACCGAGTGGATCAGTTTCCTTGAGACTAAGAAGTTCAGAATCGTCCTTTTTGGTTTTTACCCAGCCCAGTGTGTCCAGTGTGCAGCTCTCTGCTTTAGTCCAGGCTGCTGTGACGCTCCAGTACTTCACTGCAGTGCCCTCCACAAAGGGCGTCGACGTCTTCACCGCGGACGTCGACGCTCCCGTCGACGGTCCCGCCGGTCCAGGCGCCTCAGGGGGGGGAAGGAGTGGATTCCGAGTGGATGAGCAAAGAACAAAGTGCTTCAGAAACAGGGCCTTAGGAGGCCCTTGCCACTAGGGTGGAGGCCATTGCTAGTAGGGGGGGAGGCCACCACTAGTAGGGTGGAGGCCATTGCTAGTAGGTTGGAGGCGATCGCTAGTAGGTTGGAGGGCCATCGCTAGTATCGTGGAGGCCATCGCTAATAGGGTGGAGGCCATCGCTAGTAGGTTGGAGGCCATCACTAGTAGGGTGGTAGGGTGGAGGCCATCGCTAGTAGGTTGGAGGCCATCGCCACTAGGGCTTAGAGTCGTGTTTGAGGAGCCATGAGGAGCCCAAACGATGCATCAGTTGGGCAAACTTGCAATGTATTTGCTGACCCTCTCCACTACTCTCTTTTCCTTGGAGATCATCCGGTTGACTGTTGTGGCATCGGTTTTGCCAACTGTTCCAGTGTAAAGCGGGCAAACGGAAAGCTCAACAATGTCTGGTGACCCAGTTGAGTCTACCCAGTAGACTTGTACTTAGATCACACTTAAACGATGTTAAACGATGTTAAACGTGTGCTTTAACATCTAACCCTAGGTCTCCAAGTGTTCTCTTTCAGAAGGTGGGACTGGAGGTCCGGGTGCCCAGGAAGGTCCGGTCATACCTTTTGAGGAAGTATACTTGGAGCAGGATTGGTTCGCTTTCCAGGTCTATGTCTTCATCCTTAGAAACACACACTGCTTGTAATATATATAATATATAATATGCAATGCATCCTGGGTGAAAGCATGCGAAAGCCTCCATCGTGTTTCGTCATTCCCCAGTCCGACACCTTGATGTGCCTTTTGTGGGCCTTTGGCAGGTCTCTTGGGCTCAAGGTGCACAGGTCTGCCCAAGTATGCCCAAACCGTCAACATCGGTGTGTAGCTGCTACACATGGGTCTCCCTCCCATGCAGGCAACGACCCCATGGGTTCAAAATAGATCAGTCTACAGTACCCATTGTGCCATCACATCCATACCGATCAAGGGTGAACTAATTTCAACAACCTCAACGGCTTCTCGCCTCAACTTTCACCGGCTCGACACGCACAAAGGGGTTGAAGGTCATCACATGCACCTGGAGCTGTGTCAGTTCAAAGCTGTGTCCAAGAGTCTTCTAAGGAAGTCGGAAGTGGGGTGGAATAGGATGAGTGAACAGAAGAGGGGCGACTCGGCAGCCCAAGGGAATTTGATGGATTTTGTAGGTTTCCCCGAGCAGATGCACCAACCAATGAATTTCTAACGGATTTGTTTCCCTTTTGACCAGCTTGGGGCCTGTTGGGCGCCTTCTAGGCGGCTATGACCTCCCCCAGTCCAATGATTTCACTGTCTCCCTCCCAAACGGTGCACGTGCCAAACCGGTTGAGTTTGGGGGGAACCGAAGACGGTGAATTGGTGTGACTGATTTCGAGTTCGGCATGATGTTTGGGCGACCTGGCTGCTTTTCTGCGACCCAAGGTGTCAACAGGGTGTGAAGCATGAACTTATTGTCTCACGTCATATATGAACTTCCCAACTGAAGGTTTCCCGTCGAAAAGGAGGCATCCTATCCCGTCCTATCACTTTCAGGCCAGATCCACCCTGGTTCCCCACGGGTATGTCCCTGAACAAGAGCAAAAGGCAATCCCTTTCGCTATGCTCATCCTCATGAAGCAATCAACTGCATCTCTTCCATAAATCCTGAATGCTTCATCCGTGCCGCTCGGCAAGTGCCTTCCATCGTTCGATCTCGCCGCTCGGCAAGGTCTGCTGAAAGATCCCATCCTGGGGAGCTCAGCTGAAAAAAAACAACGAACTCCAACCAAAGGCCTCCAACCTAAGAACGATGGCGTCCAACCCAAGAGCGATGGCGTACAACCTACTAGCGATGGCCTCCAACCTAAGAGCGATGGCCTCCAACCGAAGAGCGATGGCGTCCAACCCAAGAGCGATGGCGTCCAACCTAAGAGCGATGGCCTCCAACCTAAGAGCGATGGCCTCCAACCTAAGAGCCATGGCCTCCAACCTGAGAGCGATGGCATCCAACCGAAGAGCGATGGCTTCCAACCGAAGAGCGATGGCCTCCAACCGAAGAGCGATGGCCTTCAACCTAAGAGCGATGGCCTCCAACCGAAGAGCGATGGCCTCCAACCGAAGACCGATGGCCTCCAACCGAAGAGCGATGGCCTCCAACCGAAGAGCGATGGCCTCCAACCGAAGAGCGATGGCCTCCAACCGAAGAGCGATGGCCTCTAACCGAAGAGCGATGGCCTCCAACCGAAGAGCGATGGCCTCCAACCTAAGAGCGATGGCCTCCAACCGACCAGCGACGGCCCCCCAACCGAAGAGCGATGGCCTCCAACCGAAGAGCGATGGCCTCCAACCGAAGAGCGATGGCCTCCAACCGAAGAGCGATGGCCTCCAACCGAAGAGCGATGGCCTCTAACCGAAGAGCGATGGCCTCCAACCGAAGAGCGATGGCCTCCAACCTACTAGCGATGGCCTCCAACCGAAGAGCGATGGCCTCGAACCGAAGAGCGATGGCCTCCTCCCATACCCTGCTGAGCTTGCCACAAACAGAAAACATAACCCATCCAGCTGCCCTCCAGGCCCCCAACAATGACCCAAGCGCCCAACGACTCCAGGATCCCACCCAACCTTCCTCCGCTGCCGGAGTCCGCTGTTTTGCCCGGGGAGATGGGGGGGGCAGTCCTTGAGCTCAGCGTTGGCGGTCGTGTGATCGAAGAAAAGGTCAGCGTTGGGTCCTCTTTTGAAGCGAAAGCGGAGTCAGAAAGCCTAGCTGCTGGAGCCAGTTTTTGAGCCGTTTTGGTGGTGGCCCAGGAATAGTCCCATTCCCCAAAACCATCGAACATGCTGGGTTAAACTGGCCGTTCCAAGACTGACCAACGAAACAAAAAAAAGGGAACCAGGACAAAGAACATGTCGCCGTCGTTCAGAAGTGTTTGACACTCCAGATACATTTTGGGGGGGGGCGATTCTTTTCATCAAGCGTCTGTACAGTCGACTGGTGCGTGACGGATCCACTCCAGCGAACCCCCCCATCAAAATGCATCAAAGCAACAAAAACGACGATTCCATGACACCGCCAGATTCGGAGATTCGGATCCATGACACAATGTCGTCTTCTGCTTAACGGTGTTCCGTACCTGTCTGTCTCTGCAAAGACGTCGCTGACTCCCTCAGTTCACCAATTGACCCGCCGTTCTGTTTACCTGTGGGATTTGAGTGGGGAAACCGCAAAACCAACCCCCCCTAAAAACGTTAAAGGTTGTCAAATGACTGGGTAAGTCAGAAGAAGGTAGGTACGACCTGACGGGGAAGTTCTCCAAAATTAGGGAGGCTTGCAAATCAATTTGCTCTGCATTGTCCTGTGCCAAATTTAGCCAAATTTAAAATCCAAAGATTGAGGAATCTCATTGGACAGTCTCTACTGTCGTATCGAAACACTGGCTCTCACCTGGTCTTCGCCGCAACATGATCAAAGCAGCCCTACTTGATGACTTCATCAACGAGGTCTTCGCATGTCTTCGCTACATCGACGGTCATCTTCATCATCAACCTTTAAGACCTGCTTTTCGGTGTCCGATGTTTGCCTTGACCCAACTCCTTCTCCCCCGCAAGAAGCAACGGCCCTGGGGCCCACCGGTCTATGGGACGCGGCCCAATTCCCAGCACCCGCCTGCCCGCATCAACTGGCCAGGCTGCCGAACCTGGTCACGTGGTCCGCACGGCCGCACCGCCAAAAGGTGGTGCTGGGGGGGGTTAAGGTGAAGAACTCTCTCGATCTCCTGGTGTCTCCTGGTGACAGGGAGTCGTGACAAGGGCGTGTTTGCTGCTGGCGACAGGGTGCTGATCATGTAGCAAACCGGTGGGATCTACAAAGGTCACCCACACTGGCTTGTTACAGCATCGAATTCGAAGGAGACATGTTTAGGATCTTTGTGGAAAAACATCATTGTGGTCTGAGATTCTAACCTTCAAAGAATTCTCTTCGAGCATCTCCAATCCAAACCGACAGGTCCCGAGTGCCTTTCGAGAACAGCTCTCCAGGTGCAAGTGGACCGAGCAACAACCAACAACTCGTCGATTCCCAAAGCATCCGATCAAGTGAGGTAGGCCTCCCCAGCCAAAGCCTCAAAGTTCTTTGGCCTCGCCTCGACCTCATGCCATGGGGAGAATCCAACCCAAAGTCCTCCATGGGGAGGAATAGGTATTTTTCAGCATGGTGGCAAAAGTCTATGTATAGGAATGTATGATAAATGACGATAATATTACATATATGCATATATATATATGCATATATTTATATTTATATTCATATATGTGCCTACACCCTGAAACCACCGCAATGTAGGCAAATGTGCCAGTCCATGGAGTGGTTAAGCAAGTAAGTCCAGTCTACTGTCCAGTCTGGCCGGTCTAGTTGAAACACGAATTGAGAACTAAGCTGAGTATCGGAAAAGCCGGAAAAGGCAAAGACTGGGAGAAAACTGAAGAAGAGTCTTTGGGTTCAACTGTTTTCAACATGAGAAGCTGATTTCATGTTCTAGAAAGTGAACGGACATCAGCTGTGATATGAAGTGAGAATGTAAGGACATTCCAGATATACCGGTTTGGCCCCGGCTGTTTATGCGTCACGCTTCATCGAAGCCTGGTGTCGTGAGACTGGAGTTCTCCACATGCAGCAAGACACAATTCTGCAGTCCCCCTGATTGGATGTCCACAATGTCTTTGGCCCAGCTTTTGAGTGAACAGCAATCAAAACGAATCAAAACGCACAAACACACACACAACACACACAACATGTTTCAGGAGATGCTTTTTGTGTTTGAGGTGACCAGGTGTACGGGCAATTGTACCTGCCCAGTGACCTTCACCACAAAGAGCTCTCTTTTAGTGCATCTCGAAAACAAGAATTGGTCTGAGGCATTGCCAAGCACCGGGAATTCATCCACAATGTTCATGTTGTCAATGTTGTCAATGTTCACATCGGCGGATGTCCCGAAACATACCCCTGCATTCCTGCATTCCTGCAACATCATTGTTTGATCATAGCATCGTATGCAATCGTCGAACAGGTCAAAACTTGTGCTCACCGTGCTCACCAAGTGCGGCTGTTGTGAAAAGCATCACTGAGCTTCCCTGGCCACCAAAGAGCTACCACCTCAGGTTGGCGCAAGTGGCCTACCAGCCACCACCGGCAGTACCTCAAAATCATCCCAAATCAACATTCAACAGCAGAATTCATCTGACTTGGAAGATAGATCAAATAAGCAAAAGATGTTTCCTTCAAATTCACTTCTTAAACCTTTGGATACCTTTGGTCGAGCCAGCAACTGGCCGCTCTACGCCAGGGAATAAACGAATGAAACAAAGATACCATTATATAGATATATGGCTTTTACCATGAATAAATATAAGATATGTAAAAGCCATCAACATTCATTTCTATATCTTATGAATGCCATTGGCGATTAATATTGTTATAAAAGATAGGCATAAAATAAGCCAATGGCAATTATTATAGCATTATATGACTTAGCCGATAGCCCCACCAATTAATATAAACTAACATTTGTGGTCATTGTATTGTACGTCTAAGATATTGTATATGTTTTAATATACAGGACTTAAAATACGTGATTTTCTATAATGAAATCCTGCCAAGATAATATATGACCTAGCCAATCCATGTTATATAAAATATGTGAATAAATGGATTGGCAGTGGGTGATTTCTCCTTTAATACTTTATCATGCATTTCTAAATATAAAATATGAAGGGTAAAGCTAAAATCATTATACGATCTCGGGTTCACATATTTAATCTCTTTCATCTTCAGCCCGAGATCGTAACCCCTTCATTCTCATTATATTACTTTAAATTAGAATAAAGGGCCCATCATATGTCCATTAAAAATAAAGAGATGTCTTAAATCAGTCATTTGTATTTTCCCTGTCCATTCGCCGTCACCCTCCTCACTCATCTCAACAACTGAAATGGGATAAAGACCCATCATTTCCTTTGTACCGGTTCGTCGCTCATCCCTAATCCCTTAAACATGCTTGTGGACATGATGGGTCAGCTTGGAAGCTGCTCGAAGAATTTCATTCTCTAAACCATACCTGAGAATTCCAGGACTGGCGATCTCCCCTCGGCCGGACTAGCGCATTCCACCTGGATCCTCTGTTGAAAGGAAGACGTTGGACAAGTGATTTGTACCAAACATGGCGGTTTCCCGTTGCCCAATTCGAACAGCACGCGGTCACGCGTCAACCTTTCAGAACCACGGGAACGCAGTAAGATCCGTTGCTCTCATCCTCACTGAGTAATGCGACAGATGTCCATGTCTATACACAGGCGGCAGGATTTTAAGACGTTTTTGGCTGCTGGTTTCAAGTAGCGAGAAGATGGAATTAGCTTGGAAGTTGACATGTTATTCTCGCCCACTGGCCGGAATAGCGGGTGCAGGCAGCTGCAGGTGTGCAAAGCTAACTAGAACATACTAGAACTGAAGGAAAACCCGGTAGCTCATGGAAAGCCTCAACAACCCATGCCTCGATTTTATTGGAAATTAGGATTAGGTGGCTGAATGCCAACACGACTACCATTTAGTGTTGTGAACCCGAACTCAACACACAGAGCCAAAATGCTTGAACAATTCAAAAAAAATATAATCAAAAAATATACAAAATAGGAAACACAAATCCACACTCAGGAGAACAGGTCTACTTAGGACAGGACTCAAAAAAAACACAAAACAAGACTCAAATCCAGACTCAAACCCAGACTCAAATCCAGACTCAAAAAGACAGACTGACTCAAATCCAGACTCAAATTCTCTGTTGCTGAGTCCGGATTTGCTTTTTTCCTTTGTTCAACCTTCTGCCATCGTTAAGTTCCATGCGAGTCTTTGTTCTGATTTCTATATATTTCTATGCGAATTATTTGTTTAGTCTGGTGTTGGTTTCAAGTGCTTGAGATCCAGTTTGAGTTTGGTGTTGAGTCACTTGCTGCTTTCTGGGGGGCTAGGCTAGGGTGGGCTGGAATCTGCGTTTTCCCTCAGAAAAAAACAAATCCAGACTCAAATCCAGCCTCAAACCCAGACTCAAATCCAGACTCAAAAAAAACAGACTGACTCAAACCCAGACTCAAACCCAGACTCAAATCCAGACTCAAATCCAGACTGACTCAAATCCAGACTCAAATTCTCTGTTGCTGAGTCCGGATTTCTTTTTTTCCTCCGTTCAACCTTCTGCTACTTGAGTCTCCAGTTGAGTGTGTTTTTGAGTTTGGTCTTGAGTTCTGGGCTGAGTCTAGGTTTGTTTTTGGTGTGTGTTTTTATTTTGCTGAGTATTTTTTGTGCTTTGCATTTTTCATCTCGAACCTCTTCTGTGCGTGTGTTCGGGGTCACAAATTTAGTGCTTGTCGCACTGTCACGCTGCTCATGTTCCATGGAAGTGGAAACCAACCTGTTTGGTCTTAAAACCGTCAGGGTCCATGCCGTCCACTTCCAATGAGTCAGAGGATGTCAGAGTGCGTGTCAACGGGCCAACTGGCGCGTCCAAAACGAAGGCCCTGCCGCAAACCCCACACCGATCGCACACAGAACACCTGCGGCGAAGCCACTGATGATCCTGGCCCAGTACTTTCCCGCAAAGAGCCAGATCTTAGTGTGACTTTGCAGATGTGGAAGGATGCGCCATCTCGTTCTTCACTTGGACACATGGAAGCAAACATCTGTGGATCTGCAGACAAAAGAACTGAACATAGCAGTTCTCTACAGCGACAGAAATATTAGGGCAACTCTGCAAACATCTGCAAAAAGTGCGATCTCGAGGTACTAATCACTAATCTTGTTTTGGCACCTGTACTACCCGTCACCAGCCTCACAAAACCAGCTGCGGATAGACACCGAACTCTGAGAATCCCTGAAAGCGCGATCGTGCGACGATCTTCACAACATGAGTGTCCCCCTTGGGCTCTTAACCAACATCCGTTTCGGTTCGGTGGTTGGGGTGGGTGCCAGGGGGGTCTGTGCCGGAGCCCGGTCCACACCGACACCGCTCTCGCTTGATCTGCTTGATCACGCTTGGTGAGACGGTCTGACGCTGTCTGATGAACACAGCCAGCAAGGTTGCCAAACCAAGGTTGCATCTGCCTGCTTCCTTCTCAGTCGAAGAAAGGAATATGGGATCCTCTGTGGGGTATTTGTAGGATATGTTATAGACACACGCATCCAAGAGGTGGTTGATCCCTGAAGCACAAACCGTAGACCGCTATAGATTCCTTCTTGGGCGCCACACTCCCAAACGATGCTCACACTCCAGCCTCAGCTGGTGACTCAACTTCACACTGTGATGGCTTCAACTGCAATCCACTCGATACTCTACACGGTGGAAGCGCTGGCTACTGACGAATCGCATACAATCCTTGCGGATCCAGGAATACTTTTCAAGCGGAGTCACTAGTTCCTACCCAGGGTGTTCCATCTCAGTTGTAAGTACATCCTCGGAACCGAAAGATGAACCCTGAGTCACGGAGTCCTCCACATATATATTGTACAGTGTAGAGTCCAAGATGTCCATGTAATGGTCCATAACCCTTTGAGTGAACAAGCAATTAAAATAACACCCGATGAAGTTACAAGGCGCCCGTGAAAAAAAAATAAACGCTCCCTTGCCCCACTGGTTTTCTAAATAAGCAACATGGCGGTCATGAGGTCATGTAACATTCACAGGCTCATAGACATGCATAAAACTATCCATAAAACTATTCTACCCCTCTGAATGCATGTTTCACCATTCTCACCACCTGCATCACTTCCGGACCCCCCCAACCACAACGACGAACGCTTCGTGGCGACTTCGCTCACGTTCGGGAGGCCCAACTCCAGGGCGACACCACGGAAGACGTTCACCGAGTCCTCCAAACGTTCCCAACCTGGCAAAACTGACTTCATCCTGGAAACCCACCAAAACAGTTCAGTTGTGGATGTTTCTAGAGTCCCAACCACTTACACATAAGTTAAAGGATCTTATATAGTTGCTTCATGCATACATTTAAAACAACATGCCACAAATAGGAACATCGATGCAGTGTTTTTTCGGGTTGGGACTGGCGTTCCCGGATGTAGGACCTGGCATGGACCTGCCGCCCATTGACCAAACATCCATTGACCTGTCTCGTCTCCCTGTGATAAACTGACAGGGACTCATACACCACACATGGAGTGTTTGGGGAATGTTGTGGAGTTGACTCACATGGTGCGACTCCAAACACGATCCGGAAGCGATCGATGGAAGCAGACATCCACCGGTTTGCTCTTGTTTTGTTTCGTGGGGCTTTCACATATTCTCCAAAAGGCTTATCCTATTTCAAGTGGACTCTTCCCAGAGGCCGGTCGTGAATGATGAGGTGGGAGAGAAGTGATAGTCTTTTGAGATGCATCAAGAAATATCAAGAAGCACTCCTGTTCAGAACATCCAGAAACCAGAAGTTCCATGTTCGCATCCGACTCATTGGATTTGTTTCACATCCGACTCACGGGGTGGGAGGGGACGCGTTTGGTTCAAGCACACCTTGGAAGTCGGTATTTCACCATTATGCCATATAGGCTATAGGGATCCACATAGCTTCTCAGGTTAGGTGCTTGCTTGGTCCGAAGCCGCCTACATCGTCTCCAATCAGCTTCTCTCAGGTTCGGTTCACGTGGAACTGCGTCCCTGCGGGACGCCTGGGCTGTGGTCCAACTCTTCGCCTGGATCAGTCCATCGACGGGGGACTTGGCCGTTCACTCCGCGACTGGGTCGCGAAATGCGAAGGCTTGGATCGCTTCAGTCTGAGTATGCTGGAGGTCCAGGTCTCGAAATTGAGGTCCAGGTCTCGAAATGGTCAAAGGCCTTTCCCAGCAGTCAAGGACGTGTTTTTGGTGGCATGGACTTGAACGGCCAGTTCGGCTGACCCAAAAATTCCACATCGTCGAGAAACACATGGTGAGCCAAGAGTGTTTGGAAGCGGGGCAGCATAGTTACATCATTTACATCCCCAGCACCACCCAAAAATGGGTGGTTTCTAGACCCTTTCTGAAGATGTGTTTTCCATCTAATGATAGCCCTGGTGCGGGTGGTGCTGGATTGTTCTAGTCAAGTGGGACGATCGTGCGGACCATCCACTGACTGTGCAGACCATCCACGAACGGTGTGTTGAGTCACTCCAGGAGTTGACCGAAGACATCATCCAAGGGAACCAAGAATCGGAGTTGGGAGCCGAGGTGGAGCTGAGGTGGAGCTAAGTGACCATCCCTCCTTAAGGTATCTTACAAAACTGCTGGAACCATCTTATAAGGTATCTTAAGGTAGTTTTCTCTATAGTTTGTCCCTCAACCGCAGGTCGTAGTCCCCCTTACTTCCAAGTGGATTTCTGTCGCCACTGAAACTCTTGACCATCTGGCAGTTGCAGCTGTTCGTTCCCATCTCAACCTCTTTGGGCAGCCGATGTCAGACTGCCTTCGGCAGGATTGCCGTCCACTCGCAGCGACTCCGGAGCATCTGGCCTTCCTCAAAGAGCATCTGGGGATGAAAAGCAATCACCTCGGGATGCAAGCTGGTCATGGGCATGCAAGAAACGAAACGTACGAAAGCGAATACACAGAAAGAGTTTGAGAGAAGCCTGCGCTGGTGTGAGTAGGAAGTGTTGGAAAGACATGGAAAAAAAAAACCTTATATTTGCTTGCGCCTCGCTGCGCTCTGTGTATATACTGCTTTTGAGAGACGCTATGTTCTTGCAAGTTTACCTACCATGTCAATAAAAAATAGCTTACAATACATTAGAGCAACATGTTCTTTCTCCCGCCCAGCCGAAGTCCACGCTTTCTAGTCTCTGTCGTAGTGTACAAATCTCAGATTCAGTACTGGGACTTGGAGCCGTTTGTAAACGTCCTGTGCCAGTTGACCTTGTCCCAAGTCTGGGGAAGTCCAAATCTCACCACCTAATCGCAAGTTGTATACCGACATTCTGGTCGTGTACAGTCTGCAGAGAAATAAGGATGTTTCAATATGCTCCAATTCCTGTGCACCACGGATAGGGTGGTTCATAGACAATTACAGTATTTGTCCTTCGATCAACCACATGAAATGGATGGTGCTGGCCAGGTACACGTATCATCGACCTCAAGTGGACGGACAAGTCTCCATTTAACTCTTGGCGATGTGATGCTGATCTGAAATGCGATTTTCGAAGCTTGTGCCTGTCGTACCTAGGAACTCGTCCAGGCTAGAATTCCAGCCCGAATCCATTCAGGGCAAGAGGGTCCAGGTCTTGGTAGCAAGCATGTCTAGGCTCGAAATTTGTTGGGAACTCCCACCAGCACCACCCAAAAATGGGTGGTTTTTAGACCCCTCTGAAGATGTGTTTTCCATCTAAGAATAGCCCTGGTGCGGGTGGTGCTGGTACTTGCTTTGCATCCTTCACCTCTCCCAAAGGCTGCTTCGCCTCGGTGGACCCGTTTTTCACTCTGAGCTGGGCGAACGCTCTTTCGCCGCAAAGGCAGGCCGTCAATCACGCCACCATGGGCCTCACCGACACGCCCCCGAGGCACTGAAGCACGATTCGGGCCATGGGAACTGGAAAGCCAACGCGGCCGAACTTGGGCCAGCAATTCTTGACAAGGACAATGAATTGTTCTTGCCTTGACAGGACAAGCCCAAGAACCAGTCATGTTCATTCTTACCAGTATACTGCTTCCTGCCAAGAATTTGTAAGAATCCGGATGGACAAGAACCAGTCTCTCGAGACCCCAGCAACAGTGCCCTGCGGGAAACCCATGGAGTGTTACAGTATGGGAGCGGTTTTCGGCATGAAGTGCCTGCCCTGGCCCTGGCGCTCCAGAAAATCAAAGACGTCAATTGCTTGAAGGCTTCAAGAGGCTTCAATTCGTTCAATTGTTATGGGAACTAAACTCGAAAACCTTTACGCAAATGCTGCTTCACGGTCCAAAAATGAGACTCTGTGAGTGAACATGGACCGACTTCTTCATGTCTGCAACCCTGGAATTGAATCTTGTGATCATCAAACAAGAAACACACCAACTCAATTACTCAATCCACATCCACAAATCAAGAACATGTTGCAGGCGGCCCAGTCAACTCAAACTGGATTTTTTGTTGGATACATGTTTCACTAGAGGGGGCTTCTCTTCAAAACATCCGAATGAAAACAATTGATACAGTAGCTTATTAAACAATTTGTGTGATTTAAAAAGGGCAAATATGGGCAAAATCCAGAACTCGGATCCAGAATCCGGAACCCCAGAGTCCAAAGATCCTTCAACCTGAAAAAAATGGCTTGAATGCATGTGTTTTATATTGTTGTTCTGCTGAAGACCACCGTGTCCCGATCAGACCAACCTCTCCAAAACGACTATTTTCATACATGTTCATCCTCCAAAACGACTGAACACACTCCAAAGCGAATCGAACTCGTCCGAAGCCCCGACATAGCGTTCGTTCACCCGCGCCATCACGGGCCAGCGGTTGAACGAAAATTCAGCTGAAAAAAGGACACAAACACAAACTCCCTGTACCTGGCGACAGGCACAAGGTGTGACCTGATGTGACACACATGTTTCGCTCTTTTTGTTGTGCGCTCCGGCAGCTGCAAAGGGACAACCCACATGTCCGCACACTGTGCCTGGAAGAACTCAGCCTGGCGTTGGAGAAGTGGGAATGGAGTGCCCACAGCCGGCCACCCACGACCGGCCGTGTCCGTGTGGATCGGGTTCCAGGACTTGACACGAACATCTACGACCTCGCACAGTGTGGTGCGACAATGCGGTGCCCTCCTGTTTGTCGCATGACTCCCGGTAGGATCAAGACGTCGGTCATGTGGGGCGGAGGTCAGTTTAAACATGTTCAAACTTCAAGATTACAAAATTCCATTAACACATCCACAATGACCAAGGAGGAACACAACTTCTCCGTCCGAAGCGGCCTCCGCGTATTGTATCAGCGTTCCATACCTATCCATCCTTGCCCCTTTTGCCTCGTCCGTCTGGGGCACCACAACAAAGAAGCCGCCCACCTGAAGCCTCCGTCGCCAGAGGGGCGACGATCGCGGAGATCGCTGGAGATCGAGCTGGAACAACTGAGTTCGGCCTGGAAGATGGTTTTGGTCATTATGGTTGAGGGCTTGTAGCTGCTGTAGTCGGTGGTGTTGTCGTCGTCTTTGTTGCTGTTGTCCCTCTTCTGCTAGATCTGGATCATGAATACACAGTCAGTATAAGTATCACAGGAAGGAGAGGTAAACTAGTAGTCTTGGAGCTGAGTTGCTATGGAAGAAAGTGCAATCATGCCGTAGAACTGTTTAATCCAGATTTAATCTATATACTACGTGCATATACCAGCACCACCCAAAGGGTGGTTTATACCCCCCCCTGAAGATGTGTTTTCCATCTTAATAGCCCTTCGGGTGGTGCTGGTATATTAATATATAAGTTATATATAAACAAAACAACACCTACCATCACCTTCCAATGCTTCCAATCCCTAACACTTCGACCATCCAATTCGTTGCATTTTCGTGGTTTCTCACAATCCGCTCGAAACCGCCCGGGGCAATAATTTGACCGACCCCACCAGGCAAACTAGCAAGTTCCGCGCCATGACGACCAGCCAATCTACGGGTGGAACCAAAATGACCAGACCAACCATGCCACTGGCAGGACTTGACCGAGAAACGGCGGTGGTGCTTCTTCACCTCCTGAAACGACGAAAGCGCCACTCGGCGAACGCGCTCAGTGCCGAACGCCGCGGACGGGGAACCTCAGAAGTCCATGCATGTGCCAGGCGCCCCCCTTGAGTGCTCGGCCTCGAAGCCGGGGGCGGTTGGCGGCGTTCACGCGCGGAGCAGCCAGTGGGCCAGGGCTCAGAAGAATGATTAAGGGATTCTGAGAAAACGGACTTGATACTGTTTTCCAAAGGAGTTGCTGAGTTGATGTTTCAGGATTTGTCTTAATTCATGCATTAGTTGCCATGAAACTTGGTAGAGGAATGTATTAGAGCAAAAGAAAATGGTAAACATCTGGAAACATGAAGATCACAGGCCTCAATGTTTGAGGACCACCTGCTTGGTTTCAAGGAGGAATTCAGAATATGTCAACAATGGCCACCTGACCAGCGAGACTGCCCAGTCAACGCGAGCGCGACATGAGTCAACGCGGATCAACCCCGGGAGACCTGGATTGACCACGGAGTCTATGAACAGCATACACTACAAGGGAGGTTAACCCATTAGGGATTAGGACTTTTGGGTTTTGACCCACAGCCACATATATTAGAAAAGGCTCTCTATGCTATGCCATGCCCTATGGATCCACATACATTCTGAGCGACTGTTGACGAAACAGGGCGCCAGGAGCCTACAATGACCTTCTGAAAAGGTGGCAGTGGATCCATAGGGAAGTACATTCATACACTCCATGCCAACATGAAGTCAACATGACACTTGCACCTCCCTGCGTGTGCTCGGTCAACATGAGGTCAACGACCTCTACACTACTTGGCTTCGACCACCATCCCATGCGGCGCGCAGCAGCTTTTTCTGGTTTGATGACCAGTCTCACTGACATTTGACATATATAACTATAGTCTTGATTTGGGGCCAACAGGAAAGGCCAACCAACAAACCCCACCAGAAAAGCACGTTGGTTGAGCTTCTCCAAATCAGAGAGTGGCATCTATCTGGCGTCTATCTGTTCCTGATGTAGCCCCAAGTAAAATTGCTGGAAGCAACCGGAGATGACGACCATCACACATGACGGATGGTCAAAATCTTGGGCAAAGAACAAGTTGTTTAGTGACTTCAACAAAAGATGGTGAGTATACAGTATACATCAGTGTACCCAATGTAAACCTCTACATTGACATCTCTGACCATTCCTCATCACACGTGAAGCCGGAAAAGGACTAGCCACCGGCCCCACGTACGACGTCGCGTGAGGAACCCGATGAGCTGATGGTCGATCCTCTAGGTGGCTCTCCAGTCGCAACGATTCACCGCCTTTCAGCCGCCTTTCACACGAGAGAAAAGGGTGGATCTGAAGATCCATGCGCCGAAGAACAAACCACCTTCCAGGTTCTCCGTCACAGCCGAAAAACCATGTAAAAAACAAGCAATGCATCTTTGGCTTTTGCGTGCGGAATTGATTGGGTCCAGGCTGTGGCACACTTCCCGAGATCTCGGTTTCTAAATGTTTCTAAGCCACACAACAAAGCTCCAGGTCGTTGTCAAACATGCTGCTCCCAGGAGACAAAGAGAGAGAGGGAGAGGGAGGGAGAGAGAGAGAGAGCTTCATCTTCAGAACACAGTTCTTGATTATGTATGCAAGAACAAATCACTCAACACTAGACTATTGCCCTGCTGCCAGACCATTTTGGAAGTCATGATATAAGATGTCAAAACCCCTCAGAAACAACAAAACACGCACAAAGAACGGCATTTGCACTCGATTCATCTGGAGGCTACAAACCCTAATCCCATGCAAAGACGAACAAAAACGTAAAGTCTCTTGGACATGAATCTCAAAAGGAACGCGGAATTGAGAGGTGCAACATATACCCAGCGATGGACTTGAAGGTGTCTGCAAGTCAGAAGAGCGCCCAAAACCTCCATGATCCTCCATGCATCGATGCTCAAACCGCTCGTTCAGAACATATGCCACGCGGCAACGGGTTCAATCAGCACCACACGGCACGCGTGTTCAATGGTGTTTTAAGAATGTGTTCTAGTGAAACAGCACGAAAAGAAAGCGCGGAAAAGAACCGGTGACTGTATAGTGTCCATTTGTAACGCAGTATATCACCTCGGGCCTCGGGTGGGTATGCTCTACACCTTTTATCGTGACTGACATGTGGACGCTCGCATACATCATTCACCTGGCGCCATACCAGTGAGTGGATTAAAAACCAGAACCGACTCGGCCTCCAGTCACATCTAGCCGCTAGTCTCACATTAATTGGTTGCAAGGAAGGTCAGTCTTGAACGATCAGAACGAAACAATCAATTCAATACGGTCTTAGTCACCTCCTGTTAGGTTTACCTCTCATCAACACACTGAGAACCTTTCTGCAACACAAAATCGTGGACAAGCATAGCATCCGTCACAGTGCCACCGTGGAGGCCGTAAACAGTGTTTTTCCCCTTTTCGTCCACAGCGTTTCCAACATCACATGTTAGATTCGATCAAATGGTTCCAGACTGGAATGCTCCCGTGTTCCATCGAGTACCGTGCGGTCAGTCTACTTCAGTTGGGGGAAGTCAGACTTGCACCTGGAACAACCACAGGGAACAGGCAAATATTGGAGGACTTCGCAAGAGAACCACGGAGAACAGAAGTACAAATGTCCGAGAGAACGAGATGTTCAGGAGAGCCCAAGCGTTGTGACCATGCAACATACTTTCATAGCCAGAGTTGACAACAAGACACGCTGGTTTTCACACGGTTTCACTTGTTACAAAGGTGCACATGCTGACTGTAACATTTACTACCAGGTTGGAGGTCATCGCTCTTAGGTTGGAGGCCGTCGCGTTTGTAGGTTGGCCACTCTGTCAGATGCACTGAAGCACTGAGACAAAAAGACCGTCAGGGGAAAACTCTTTATATACATAGTGTGTTCAGATGTTTGGCAGGCTGATGTTTGGGCAATTGTTGGTGCTCTGTTGAATGCTGTCTATTAATAAGAGATTTCATGACATTTCATGGCAACAAAAAGAACTTCTGCCAGAAGATTTGTGATGTTGGAGAATCTAGGCTATGAAGTCAAATCAGGATGAAGGAAAAGGAGGAATGAAAAGCATAGATCCGAATCCAATGCAAGAAGTCAACAGGAATGAGCTCAACAGGAATGACAGTCTGGAGCCCTACACGGATCATGTGCGAAAAAAGAAAACAACGAAACATCTCAATAAAGGCCTCCACGACGTCCACATACGTCCACCCTTTAAGCAGGATTCTTGAAAGTATTGAATCCCTGATGAAATTTAAAAAAAATGATGAAACACGCGAAGACAGGAGCTGCGCACACCCCCTTCAATGCGATCTTCAATCCACAAGTGCCTGATTGCCAGAGGTTGACTTGAATGGCAAATCAAGTGACAGCACAATCGCTGATGAAAGGGATTGAAAGGGGTCTCTGGCAGATATCTGCCGTGCAAGTATCCTGGCTACTTGAGACCTGTCAAGGACGCGATCTTCATTCACCAGGCCACCACTAACCCCTTACTCCAACTCACTAATTGGGGCAGAAGGCATGACCGTGGAAAACGATGATCCAAAGCAAGAGGTTTTGGTTTCCCAAATGACTCGATGGCCCAGCCGGATCAAATGTACGGCTGTTCTTTGTCAGCCAGATCCACGTGAAAAATACACTGCCCGAGGTCTCTGATTGAAAGGTGCTGCGATTGAACAGCTCAATGAGATCCGAAAAAGACATGAAAACACCCGTCAAAAGTTTGACCGTGTTTGGCTGCTAGGATATCATTGGACCACCAAATAGAATGACTCTGCTGCACATGTGGAAAGGGCAAAAACCAGTTCTCTCGAAAGCACCTGTCCGGATGCCGCTTACCATGTCTGTAAATCAAAGAGAGTACATATAGAAATCCTGCAAAACTGACTTGACACTGCAACATACTGCGACGTTTTTCAC